CTCAAGAGATCCTCCCATCTCGGCTTCTCAAAATGCTGGGATTACAGGTATGAGCCACCATGCCCAGCCCTTTCATTTTTTTTAAATAACCAACTTTTACTGAGAGGTATCTGTGTGCCCAGCCCCAGACAGGGACTCAGAGATAAGAAAATGAACAGACATGGTCTTGAGCTTCTAGGAACTCAGTGCGGAGATATGTAGAGGATCCCTGCATTCACCATATGTGTCATGAAGACTCATGCACAGGGAGCTGTGGGAATCTAGAGGATGGCTACCGGCCCAGGTTGTGGGGATCAGCGTGGCAGAGAGGATCCCTGAGCTGTTCTCAGGGAATGAGTGGGAATTAGCAAGGAGAGAGGAGGGAGAGGGAATTCTAGGCTCAGGGGATGAAGATAGCAACAAAGTAACAGCTCAGTGTATATTGGAATGCAAGCCTTTGGGACTGATTGGGCAGACAGGAGTGGTGGGAAGCTCTATTAACAGAAATATTCAGAGGCTGGGGAGGGTGTTGTTGGCTTGTGTAGACTTGTGTTGAGGTCTGTAGACTTAGGCAGTGGCATAGCAGCACAGAGGTCAAGCCAGGGAGTGACACGGTTAGATCTATGTGTGAGCTTGCTGTCTCTGGCTGTTGGGTGAGGGATGAGTCTAGGGGAAATGGCAGTGCAGAGACGGAGGCAGCCTGCAGTGATCCAGGTGATACCGAGAGGGCCCGAACTGGGTCAAGACTGGACAGCTAGAGGGAGAGAGATGATACAGAACAGGGTCTCAGGACAGCCTTTGGGGTCAGGAGGACGTGCGTTCTAATTCAGCTCGGCTAGTGACTGCTTATGAAACCCAGGCAAGCCAGTTAAAGTCACTGACTTCAGTTTTATCCTCTGCAAAAGGATAATGTCTCAGCCACAGAGAGTCATCTGGGTCTGCCCCTGGATCATTGTAAAGCACATGGCACAGGGCCTCAGCTCACATTCCAGAAATGGCAGTTACGGTTAGGCATGGAGAAGGCACAGGTTGGAGAGACAATTAAAAGGTAGAGTTGGCAGGTTTTGGCCAATAGCTGGACATGCCTTTTTGGTCCTCAACTGCTCATCCTGGCCTCAAGCCTCAGGAGGTGGCAGAGTGAAGGAGGTAGAAGCAACCGACTACTGCCTTCATCTGGAGCCCTGTGTCCCGTGTGGCCCCCAGGTCTGGCCTACCCGTCCCAGAACCACTGGGTGGGTATGAACATGTGTGCACCTGTGCGTATAAGGAAGGGAGGTTTT